GGGGAGAATCAATCTGGAGGAAGCAGCACGACTGCCAGAGCTTGAGATGAAACTTCCACTTAAAAGTCATAACTATTGGCAGTTTAAAGCCCCCCCCCCAACAGCCGAGCGCTTATTACTGACAACTGCAGCTCGGCATGAAAGATGCCGTAATTTGACTTCGAGGAAGTGAAACCTCACAGCGAGGCGATCATACCCTGCAGGCAGCCGTATTGTTTTATTAAGATGATTCATTTCATAATCATGAGTTTAAATCCGGGAATGATGCAGGAGCCCTGAACTGAGGGCTTAGGAACAGCCGCTTCCCTGGGGCAAAAGTCTCCAGGCAGGGGTGCTTTATAAAAGTTTATTCCTTCTCTCTAAAGGTACAAATGACTAAGAGAGGGATGTGTGGGCAGGAAAGCTCGGGAGAAAATATGCAAGCTCATAATTTTGGGGTGGAGTGGGGGGGAAAGAGACTTAGCTGCCGAGTTGTTCTCATTGTTTCCCTTTTATAACATAAAATTAGCACAGCATGAAAACAGAAGGGTTAAAAAAGGGGGGAAAGTTAGCAATTAATTGATAGCCTACACATATACACCGTCTGTCCTAGTGTGCAGAAAGCATCTGGAATGGCTTAATTGTGTGAGCAAGTCCTGCTGAATCTTTAGCAAGCAGAGACAGATCTCAATTAATTGTCGTTCAGCCATTTAAAAAAACCACAACTGTCCCATCAGCTGACATCTTAATAGGCTGCAGCAAAAAAAGAAATGAATTTAGAAGCAAGACTGTTCCATGAATCCTGTTTAAAGATGACATTCCTGAACGCTCCTAACTCAACTGCAGGAGTGGCCCAAGATACACCATGGCCGGAAACAGAGGACCAAGATTGCGCGCGCGCACACACACACACACACACACACACATGCACCTTAAATTCAAGACACCAAAAACAACTGGGCTGGATGAGCAGTGGCCGGAAACAGAGGACCAAGATTGCACACACACACACACGTGCACCTTAAATTCAAGACACCAAAACCAACTGGGCTGGATGAGGAACCTTCCTTCCACCCCTGATAAGTCAAAGCAGCATCCACGGCCCAAGAAGGCAACAGGAACTCATAACTCAGCTTTGCCCACCAAACCCTTTCTAGCTGCTCTCGAGTATCAGCCACCAGAGAAATCGAATTAATGATAGCGCCGACCTTGTGTAGGTGTTACTGATAGCAACCCTTCCAGAAAGGATTCAGAAGAGAGGGGCGAGAGACACACGGGGTGGATTTGATTTAAATCACTTCAATTTAAATCCCCCAAATTGGATTTATTTTGACAATTTAAATAAAAGAATTGATTTTAAAAAAATTAAATCATCAAGAAATCCAAGTTTTAAAATTTAAATCGTGATTTAAACTGATTTTAAAAAAATTACAGTATTTTTTATTCACCCTGGATACACAGCATGCTAACTCATCTATTCCACTGAAAAATGACCAGTTCTTTGCTCTCCCCCACCCACCCCCAGCCCTTTTTCAGTTTGCACCAAGTCTTTTTAGACTCTTAACCTCCGTGTAAGGCTGCCTTGTCTAAACTGACTGCACACAAGCCTCTTCGGGACCCATTCTGGCTGAGTGGGACAAAAAATGCGTAAAATAAACATTAAAATGAAATAAAGCGCAGGCTGCGTGTGTTTCGAAAGGCGATGATGGCACTGCGGAATCAAGAGGAGAGGCTTTGAGCAGCAGCTGCCAAGGAGCAAGCGGCGGAGAAAACAACATTGTCTTCAAAGCCTCATTTGTGAGCTCTCTTAATGAAGCTGGCAGATCACTGCTGGGAAGAGGGTACTGGATAATTAATCAAATCCACAAGGGTTCTTGTTAGGTCCTAATGCTCATGATGTGACTATTGATATATCGCACAAATGCATCCTTGTGTTCTAATGAGCGTCAGACAGTTAAATGGGGTGTACAGAGACACGAACTCGGTACAGCCCTCCTGGTTCATCAGAGGTCCCCTGGGGTGGGGTGGGGGGGACAGGCAGCTGGCTCAACCGGCACTGTGCCCTTACCCATGTCTCCTTTCGGACTTCAGCGGAAGCATCTACGTAGATCAGATGGGTGGCCGTCAAGTAGAGCGTTCCATTTGCTGGCTTTCTGTGCGTATAACGATCCAGGAGCTTGACGTTTTCTACCTGCGGGTTAGGAGGGGTGGAAAACAAGGGAAAGGAGAGAGGAAGAATGAATTAGAACAAGTCCTAAAAGATCAGGGATAAATCAGGTCTGCCAAAGCCACGAAGGGCTCTCTTTGTGCTCCCCAGACAGGGCTGGGCACTCATACGGGGGTCTCCTAGAAAGTAAGTTTCACCAAGCTGTAAATCACACTTGGTTTAAAAATTCTGAATGTAGTAACATCTTTGATTCACCATGCTGAACGCACTTGACCTTGTCTGATTCTGAAAATTTAGCAAGGTCAGGCCTCATTAGAACTTAAGACAGGAGGAAATACTGCAAATTTCTATGCAAGGCTAAGAGAGGATACCTACAGAAATCCTGCAGAGCTGGGGTAAATTTTTTTGAATCAATCAATTAATTAAATGAATGAATAAATGCTCAGCTAGTCATATCAACAAGGTAAGGCAACTTCCTATGCCCCTGACATTCACAGAGTCCATTTTTAATGCAACAGAAAAACAGGCAGAAACTCTAGAATCCATAAAATGGTAAAGGACTGAAGGGTTAACGTATTTCTTTGCCCCCTCAGGGTGGGTGCAGGTGAAGAAAGCATGTGTCACGATGTATGTGCCTTCTGTGAGATGTCAATAAAACAGGAAACGAGTGTAAAAGGCATTTCTCACTGGATAGAGCAGAAGCAGGAAGAGTAAATCTGAAGTCCTTCCTTGCCTGATTATTGTTCTTTCCTGCCATGTTTGATTTTCTTATCTAGATTACTCAGTTAAAAGGCAAGGATGTGGAAGCAAAAAAAAAAAAACATAATTGAGTTTTCTTTCCTTGTGATTCGTTCTGGTGTTGAAGGTAAAGAGATACGAATACTTTCAAATAAAGCAGTGCCTTTTAAAAAGAAGTATTTTCATGTCATTGGAAGATAATGTTTAGTACTGGACTGAAAGACACTCACAAACATTCTCTGGGTTTCAAAATTCAAGGGTCCGCAGACGTTATCCTTGGCAGAATGCTACTGAATCTCCATTATGGGGTTGTGGATTTGGTGGCTGTGCTAAAGACCACGTTCAGGGGGCACATTTTCGTTTGGCTAATGAAACAGAAGGGCAGAGGGACCCAATGACAAAACGGGCTAGAAGCAAAGCATTTTCTTCACCAGCCTGAGCATTCAGCAAAAGGTTTGGGAGAAGCAGGAGGGCAACCAAAGCAGAGAAACAGGAAACGGGTGCTTGAAGAAATGAAGGGGGGCACGGCGCTCAGGGCAACCCTAAGATTTATAGATGTAGAAAACAGGGGAAGTCGAGAAGACGGGAAAAATAACACATCAAACTGTTTAAATAACTCAACTATGGAACTTCTTGGCTAACCAGATTAATATATGAAATACATTTAATACTTGAAAACGGCTGAATACATGTGAAGTATTATAAAAAATATCCAAATAAATAACTACTTATGGGGAAAAAAGACAAAATCAAGTCCAGCAATCGGGATCCTCATCGTACAAAGGCTGAGAGATGCGTCATCAATAGAGATGGCTCGCAGCAGGATTAAAGCATCAAATAACCTTAACCACTGTGCGTTCTGTGGCTGCGCCTGGGATCAGACAAAACCAACATTCACATCAGGGAAGGGTCAGTCTGAATAAAACTCCCCTGCAAGCAAATATGAATGTCACTTGTTCAGAAAGAACAACCACTTCCATCTCGGTTAGAGACCTGTGCAAGGTCTATTCTATGTGAGTTTTCTTCTAACGGTCTTAAACGCATGCCTGCAGGAAGGGAGGGGGAAACAATGAGACAACCTGCCAACTTTTTATTAGGACCTTTGCAAGCGTTTATTTTAAAAGTCAAACCTCTTTTGCACGGCGGGGAGGAGAAATACTGGGAAATGAACAAAACTGTTAAGAATACACTGAAGCCTCTTTAACACAGCCATTCTCAGTGGGGCCATATCTGAAAGGGGCCACAGACTGAAAATTTTTCTATTTTGCTTTTCTATCCAGCTGTCTGTGCTGAATCCTTGTTTAACTCTGTTAAACTCTGTTTAACTTTTGTGGGCTCTGGAACCCATGAAAAGCTCCCAAAAGCACCATGGCCAAAAATAAAAAGTTGAGTTTAACTGAACCCAGACTCCAGTCCATTGACTCTATTTTAACCACTGCTAGGCTGAACCACTTTTGGGCCAGGGCAGGACTTGAAACAGGTTGAAAGTGCCAGAACTGTACGAGTGTGTTCAAAATTCAACATTTAACTTCTTCAAAAAAATGATTGAATTTCCTATGGTTTTCTGCCAAACTTGAATCAATTTTTTTAAAAAAATGCACAGGTGGCCCCTTACCCAAAACCACAAACTCCAGAACGGTGTTTCCCTGGACTGCAACGTCCAGAAATCTTGACCAGCACAGCTGGTGGTGAGAGCATCTGGGAGTTTTAGTCCAAGAACATCTGGGGGAACCCAAGGTTGGGAGCCATTGCTATAGACCAAATTTTGGAAAAAGCTACTGCAAACCTTCCAAAAGGCAGCTTATCTCTGATCCACTCCCCACGCTCCCCAGTCCTTTTATAAGAAACTTTTTAATCCAGAGATGCCCTTCTTGATTCTTTGAACCAAGCTATGGGCTATCTATGCCCTTTTTCATACCCTGGCTTTAATACCTAACACATTCCAGCAAGGTTCATAAACTGCATTTCTTCCTGCATTTAATTATGCCTAAGCAGACCTTCCACTTTTCTCTGGCAAGCCCAGTTACTCTGGGTCATTTCCACTGCAGGAAAGTTTGCAAAGATCCCTAGAGGCGACACATTTTAGTGCAGTATCAGTTTCCATTTATTTTGAATATACAAATCCTCACAGTTATACTTTGGCAAATGCTTCCCACACTGAAACTGCCACAAAAGTATCCCTTATTCCATCAACATAGTATTTCTGAATATGTTACACCATAACAGAGAGACATTTACTCTCAGTGCTGAGTTCTTGTTGCAACACCAGAAGGACACACAACGGCCAATCTACAAACCGTGACTTTGAAAATTTCTGTGCTTGTCCAATTTTTGAGCCATCTTGACTTACAAAAAATGCTGGACAGCATGAAAGCTCATGCTACTTCCAGCACATTTTGGGAAAGGCACAGACATTAAAGACAGACAACCCATGATTAGAAGAGGGAATTCCTTAACTGATGAAAAGTGTCTGAGTGCACAGCAGGAGTTTTTCTCATCTCTTATAATGAGCAAGTTCTGTAATTGGAATGTGATTTCTCACACACCAAAGTTTGTGCGAATTATCGCTCAACACTAATGCACTTCTAAGACTACCTGCAACATCTAATCTTTACTTAATGGTGCTGATAAAATGGAATGAACTCAACTCTGAATTTCGTGCATACACATTTACCTCTGAAATTTGCTTTAAAAACCCCTTTTCAGGGGTTACAATATCGCACAGCAGAAAATACATGATTATAACATCTGTAAGATGCCTGGCCATGATCTATTCTCTACAGTAGAAAGTAGTTTTCAGAGACTAGACCTCAGAATACCCACTTGGTGTGAACAATGACAAGGCTGTTGGAAATTTAGTGCAAGGAGGAGTGTAAGCTTAGAGGTTCAACTAAATCTTGGGAGTGAGAGAGAAACCAATCAGCCACTGGAGTTATTCAAAAATCATTGGTTACCAGTTTGAAACAATTGCCAATAGTTGCTCAAATTTGCTTCCTAGAAATCCAAAACTCAGTACTCAGTTATTTCGTAAAAATGTCATCTCGCCCACAAATTTTCAGGATGATTCCTAATGTTTAGGCTTGGCCCCTTTTTGTCCAGCTCCATCAATGCTGAGAAATACAAAGTATAATGAACAGCATACGTATTGCACTGATATTTGTACTTAGGTTTTTGGTTTAAAATTATATCCGTTATATAATGCCAGTCAATGTTTTTATAATTTTGATTGACTGTGCCTGGTATTTTTGAATAACAACAACAATCACAATAATAATATAAATTATTATGATGGATAGCTCAAGTGTCAGGTGGATACACAACTGGCTACAGAATCGTACTCAGAGGGTGATGATTAATGAGTCCTTCTCTAACTGGGAGGAGGTAACTAGTGAAGTGCGAGTCCCCTTCTACTCAGCACTGGTTAGGTCTCACCTTGAGTACTGTGTCCAGTTCTGGACAACGCATTTCTAGAAGGATGCTAACAAATTGGAACAAGTTCAGAGGAGGGCGACAAGGAGGATCCAGGGGCTGGAAAACAAGCCCTAGGAGGAAAGATGGAGAGAACTGGGCATGTTTAGCCTTGAGAAAAGAAGACTGAGGGGTGATATGATAGCACTTTTCAAATATTCGAAAGGCTGTCCTACAGAGGAGAGGCAAGATCTGTTCTTGATCATCCCAGAGTGCAGGACATGCAACCATGGGCTCAAGTTAAAGGAAGCCAGATTTCGGTGGAATTATCAGGAAAAACTTTCTAACTGTTAGAGCAGAATGACAGTGGAACCAGTGACCTCGGAAGTTGGAGAGCGCTCCAACACTGGAGGCATTCAAGAAAAACTTAAGATAATCACCTGGCAGATCTGCTTTGATTATAGTCCTGCATTGAGCAGGGGGTTGGACTGGATGGCCTTATAGGCCCCCTTCCAACTTCACTTTTCTGTGATTCTATGATTTATATGATTCTAATACTGTAGTGTTCTAATAAAGGCAGTGTTTTATGTCTCTGGCTGCAGAGCCAAAAACTGGGAGTTCGATTCCCCCTCTGGGCCTCCTTGACAAGGGCTGGACATGATGATCCACTGGGTGCAGTTCCAGCTTTGCAGTTCCAAGAGGATGATTGTCACCTGCTGTTGCATTTGTACAATTTGGGGGACCCAATGGGCTATTTTTTAAAATATTTTTTTTTCTCAACAATTATATAAAATATTATAATCAGCTGCGCATCTCTGAAATAACATAATCAGAGCTGTAAAACCCAGCAAGATTAGGAACAGCATAGAGATTATACCAATATTTGACTGATACTTCGGCTTTTGGTTAACACTTCTACCTGTTGTATAATACCCGTCAAAGACTGTGTCTTGCATTTTTCAAATCATCATTATCAATGCTTTTATAATTTTGACTGACTGTCTGGTACATAATAATAATGATAATACTATACGATAGCGACGATAGCAATAGCAATAAAGATAACGGTAACAACAACAATGCTTTAGGTGTAGCATCTCCAAAGACCTAGAAAACCCTCTCTCGCCCACAGGCTGCAGAAAGCTGCCTGGATGTGGGGGTCAGCCCCCCGCCCCCCGGTTTTCAGGAAATGCCTGGGAACCTCCTCCGTCGTTGGGAAAGACCCCCCCCCAAACAATTGGGCCGAATTCGGTGCCAAATGTGAAATTCCAAAATTGAGAATTCAATTTTAGTCAAATAGCGTGTGTGTGTGGGGGGGGTTGCCAACCTCACGAAGACACAGACCCCAATAGTCAAGGAAAGAAAGGGCCTCCCACCTTGGGGAGTGGGGGGGGGCGAGAGACCTGGGCACATACTGGATGATGATGATGATGATGGGGAGGGAGGATGCACAGGAGCCATATTATAAGGCATGCTCTGCACATGCCCAGAGGCAAGGGTGGGGGGGGCCCTTCCACAGAGGCAATTGCAGCCCCCCAAAAAAACAGCCCCCCCATTTCATGGCATGGGAAAAAAAAGGTCCAGGGGCTGAGCCCCCCCCTTTCCTCACAGCCCCTCAGGGGTGGGGGCGGTTTGGGGGAGGGAGCCCCCCCGCTCCCCCGTTACCTTAGGCGTCGTGATGTGCTCCATGGCGGGGGCGAGGGGGCCGAAACACCCCCCCGGGCCCCCCCCTTCCCGACGGCGGGCGCGCCCCCCTCTCCTCACGCCAGCCCGCCGCTCCTGGCGGGCCTCTCCCTCCAACGGCTCTCCCTCGCGCCCTCTCTCCCCCCCCGTCCCCCCCCCCCGCCCCCAC